CSKTTWATTTTYCCTTTTGTTTTCTGATTCGAATGATCAGRTCTCAGGTACGATGATCTGTACCATCAGTATTACGATATGGACATTAAAGAGGCRATGAACTGATTGCCCAGGGAAGTTGTTGACGCTCGTAACCAGAGTCTCAAGCGTGCTATGGATCTCTCCATGAAGCACGAGTACCTTCCCAAGGATCTTCAGGTACTCTTCATATTCTGCTTCTGGTGTTTTTCTGTTTCGTTGCAGATGAAATTGATGTTGTTTGAACCGATCTAAGATGTGTAGAATGTTAGATGATAAAAGAACAAAATTTTGTAGGTAAAGAACTGATAGATTATGTGGTTATTTGTGATTTAGATTGAAGCAGATTCTTCACATTTATAATATTTATCATATGTGTTCTTGTGATAGTGTTATTTTAAATGTATATAGACTAGCTTATGCATATTATATGCTTGTCTCTTGTGTAACTGTGTTTACTTTGCTCTAGCTTATTGGAAAATTTTTGAATTGATATAAAGCTAGTTGTTTCCTTTCAATAAAGTGAAATGGTGATTGCAAGAATCTCTCGACATTTAATACGTGGCTGGATTCTATAGACGCGTTGATGGCATGTTGCTTAGGTTTACAGTTAGACCTGATTATGAAACCAAAAACTCATGTATGGAATTGTATGGAATCAAAAACTCATTCATGGAATTGTGTTCTCTCTCATGTTGGTTTCTGGTTTACTGATTCTTGTGTGTTGCTTCCTCGGTTTACTGATTTTTATTTGGTTGAGTATATAAAGATCATGTTTGTATGCTCTGCATATGTTGATTGGTTGTGTGTTTGATTTCTTTTCTTGTGCATTTACTGATTCTCTTTCTGTTTTGTTGCTTGTTTGGAGGAAAACATTGGACTGCAAGGGCATTAGCTAGGGAAGAGTGACTGTTGCTTCCTATTGACCACAAATTCATGAAGGTAATCAACTGTCTCAACTGTCTATGTATTGCTGTTAGCTGGGTTGAGTTAAAGACAGACTTAAATAAAAAGTAAGCTACTGAGTTTAGGTTGTTAGCTGGGTTGAGTTTAAATGTATTGCTGTTAGCTGGGTTGAGTTTAAAAGTAAGCTACTAATTAATTTTTTTTTTTTAAAAAGTACAACTTAAATGAAAAGTAAGCTATTGATTTAACATCAGTCTTAAATTTTGACTTAAATTTAAAAATGAAAGTACAAACAGATTTTTGTGTCAAGTAAAAACTTTAAAAAACTTCAAAAACTTAACTAAAACTTAGTTCAACTGTCTGTGATGGAGACATATTAGTGGGTTGAACATTAAGTGTGTGAACATTAAGTTTGCTTATAAACACTTCCAAACCAAACACATAATCCACACACATTTCCTTTCAAAACATTTCATTTGTAGCTAAGTAAATGGATACTTCCATTCCATTTAG